AAAAAAAAAAAAAAAAAGACCCTGTTAGGAGGGTTGTCTGAGACTCATGGTAGACACTCATGATAGAAGTAAATAAAGATTTTTTAAAAGCCTGTGTTACCCACCTCCCCCAAAAAAGAAATAAAAACTTAAAGTGGGGAGAGAACAACATAAGCATAAGAACTGTTTCTCATACTTCTCAAAGAAAAAAATATTTTAAGAGGTCTTTGCCATAGGATGCATGCTCTCACTGGAGAGAGAGACAGAGATAGTGAGAAGTGAGAAATCACCCCACCAGGGGGATGGCCATGCCACAATTCCTTCTCCTCCACTCTGAGATCTTGGGCATGCACACACATGTGCTCAGTGTGATTTTCAAGCCACTGGATCCAGGACTCAAACCACAGTTGGCCATGTGGGAGTCAAGCAACATAACCACTATACCATCTGCTGTCCCCCAACCAAAAGAACAAAAGACAGCAAAGGGCAAAGACCGAAAGGAAAACACAGACACGCGCACAGCGTCACCTGTAGTAAAGGCGGGGGTCAGTAAAAGCTGGCCTGTGCCTGCTTCCGTCAAACACATTTCCTTGGAATAGAGCCATGCTGGCTCCTGTAGTACCATGGCTGACTTCGCACTACGAAAGCACGACTGAGTCGTGGTGACGGGAACCACTTTGCCTCACCACCTGTGTACCATCTCGGCCTTTACAGAAAAGGTTGACCTCTGTATTAAGACATGTAAACCAGGGCCAGCAGTGGCATGGTGGTTAAGGCGTTGGACTCCCCTGTGGCTAACTGCAGTTCAAGCCCCAGACCTAGTGGCTTGAAAAATCACACTGAGCATGTGTGGGTACATGCCCAAGACCCTAAGAGGAGGATGGAGAAGGGACTGAGATATGATCATCCCCCCTGGGGGGGGGAGGTTTCTCACTTTCCTCTCTCTGTCTCTATCCCTAATTAGTGCCACACCCTATGGCAAAAAACTAAAACAAAATAAGATGAAACAAAAAACCCCCACCGGAATCAGAATAAGAATTATATCATTTTTCCTCTATCAGGTAGGCAAAAACTTAAAGACTGACGACACCCAGCGTCAGTGAGGGGAACAGCACATTCACAGCCAGTGTACCCGAGGACAGCTGCAGACAGAGGCACAGCAGGGAATATGCAGCTGTTTGACACAGACTCAGGAACTCTGCAGTTCTCTTGCTGGAGTATCCTGGATGCACACTCACAAACGTACAGTGATACATAAATGTGCAAGTTCACCCACGCACCTAATGTGCTACATGTTTTAGGCATAAATATAAGTAACATAAAGACAGTCAATGCAATCACATGTGTAAATGGTAGTCGAAGTATGAATTATTAGAAGACCAAGGAAACACACGTTTATAGTTTGGAATACTATACAACTGTTAAAAATGAACAGATTTATATGTGCTGATATAGAAAGATCTCTAAACCCCATCAAACCCAATGAAGTGAAAAAACACAAAACAAACAAAAAAAAAGCATAATTTTTATACTAGGATCTTATTTGTAAAATGTTTCTTTTTTGTGGGAACCAGCAGATGGTGTAATGGTTATGGGGTTGGGCACACACATCTATAGCAAAAAAATCTCTCTCAAACAAAAACTTTTTTTTTCCCCCAGAGTTTTTTTTGCCATAAGGCACATGTGCTCACCTGAGAAAGAAAGAGAGACAGAGATGGTGAGAGGGAAAGTGAGAAATCACTCCCCCGGGGGGATGGCCATGCCACAATCCCCTCTCCATTTTCCTGGGATCTTGGGCACATAAAGACAGTCAATGCAATCACATGTGTAAATGGTAGTCGAAGTATGAATTATTAGAAGACCAAGGAAACACACGTTTATAGTTTGGAATACTATACAACTGTTAAAAATGAACAGATTTATATGTGCTGATATAGAAAGATCTCTAAACCCCATCAAACCCAATGAAGTGAAAAAACACAAAACAAACAAAAAAAAAGCATAATTTTTATACTAGGATCTTATTTGTAAAATGTTTCTTTTTTGTGGGAACCAGCAGATGGTGTAATGGTTATGGGGTTGGGCACACACATCTATAGCAAAAAAATCTCTCTCAAACAAAAACTTTTTTTTTCCCCCAGAGTTTTTTTTGCCATAAGGCACATGTGCTCACCTGAGAAAGAAAGAGAGACAGAGATGGTGAGAGGGAAAGTGAGAAATCACTCCCCCGGGGGGATGGCCATGCCACAATCCCCTCTCCATTTTCCTGGGATCTTGGGCACACACACACGTGCCCAGTGTGAGTTTCAAGCCGCCAGATCCAGTAGACTGCAACTGCAGCAGACCATGTGGGAGTCCAGCGACAAAACGGCTACGCCATCTGCTGGCCCTGCAAAAACTCTCTCAAAAGGAAATTCACTCACATTTTTTTACTTGAAAGACGGAGCAGGCAACAGTGATTATTCCTTAGCAGTGATTTATTGAGGCATGGAGACAATGCAGCCAAATTTCCTGCTTGTCCCAAAGTGTTGGCCCAATAAGCAAAAGGCAGCAAAAGGCCAAAAATAAAACAAGCCTGCAAAAGGATACGCGGTATCGCTGAAGAATATCAAAGCTATTTCCCAGTAGAAAACACAAAGATCAAAAAAAATGAATAACTGGAAGTAACTGGAAGCAAACAGCTAAATATTAAACTCAACTCACCGATCTGACAGATTGTAAACTGCTGGACACTCTGACGGGTCTTGAGATACCACTCTGATGGCAAATCAAAAAGACTGTAAAAAACAGGCACGTTGTTCCATAGCTGACATCAGACCAAGGCACTGGGTCAGCCGGCTTGGCCTCTCCCAGCCAGGGCAGGCCTTCCTTCTTCCTTTCAACTAGAGAACACGTCTATCACGCGGACAAAGCGGGTCCCCAGACGCCTGGGAGCAACCCTCAGAGTATTCCTACCCTCCCAGATGCCAGCCAGCATCTGCTGAGAAACAATGCGGTCTGTCCTGGGTTAAGAGGGGACACCGCTCCAGGGCAAAGTTGGCTTTACCTGATCTGCTGGGGCCCAGACAGGTTAGACCGAAGGCCAGTGAACTCTATGTCCAGACCTGCAGGGGGAGGCAAAAACACTAGAGTCCCCAGGCACCGGCCACTGCCGCCGCTCTGCAGGTGAATGCGCAGGGTCCGAGCACGCGGCTCAGTCTGCTCAACAAGCCAGGTGGAGGCCAATGGGGGTTAGCGGAGAGTCAAGACAGGACCAGCCAGGCCTCCCCTGTTGTACTTGAACCGCACAGGGCTGTGGCTCACACAGGCGAGGCCCAGGGTGCCTTTGCTGCCCAGAAAGCCCAAGGGGCCCCCTCCAAGCCCCGGCGGCCTGGAGACGAGCCAGCCCCGGGGGCGGCCCCAACTCGCTGGAGGCAGGCGCTCCGGAGACAAGGCCCGGAATCCGGCCGCCTTACCCACGAAGTCCGCGCCCAGGACGAGCTCCTGTAGCAGGGGGAGGCTCTGCTCGAACTCGTCGGCGCACACGTCCATGGCCACGCAGCTCCGAGAGCGCCTCGCGCTGCCTCGCGCTGCCCACGCGCTTCCGCCGCGCCGCCAGCACCTTAAAGGGCTCGCGCGTGGAGAGCGGCCACCGCCCCGCCCCGCGCACCTCCACCCGCTGGGGCGCCCTCACCTGCCTGGGTTTTGATGGTCCAGCCTTGCCAGAAAGCTTAGGTTGCTTACGGTGTGCGGGTGGACGCAGCGGTTCTCCGGTTCTCCGCAGCCTTCAAGATGAGGTCATTAGGGAGGCGTGGGAGGCTGAGAGAGGGCAGCTGGAAGCCACCAGGGGGGCTGCAATGCCAAATGCAATTGAGGGCACCCTCCAAGCCAACCGTCCCGTTAGGTCCACAGCTCTTCGTGACAAGCCGTCACCGCCTGTGTCTGCCCCTGCTCTCCCCCAATTCAGACATTCCTCCTCTCCCTGCTTACGCACCTCACCAGTCTCCACTTGTACCAATCTGAACACAAAGCCTCAGGCTGCCCTGTGTGAGGAATCCCGACGCAGATTACAGGTGCACTTAGACGCCTTGCAGAAATCTCCCACACCGTCACTCACACCTGAGCCCCCAGCTGTCAATCCGGGGCTTCCTTAGTGTCTTCCCTTCAACCTTTGGCTTCTATTTGAACAGCCTCCAAAAACCAGACTGGTTTAGAGGTACTCCAATATTTAAGATGAGGGAAGAGGGGCCAGCAGGTGACGTGGTGGTTAAGGCACTGGACTCCAACATGGCCCATCATAGTTCAGGCCCTGGACCTGGTGTGTGTACCCAATCCTGAGAGAATGGAGAAAGCATTGCGGTGTGCCCCCTACCCCCACCACCCCAGTGATTCCTCACTTTTCCTCTCTCTCTCTGACTAGCGCCAGTGCCCTACTAGCAAAAACCGAAAAAAATAAAATAAAAAGAGGATAAGAAATACCAGAACAATACACTTTAAAGGTCTCCATGGGACTATTTACTGACCAGAAAGGGGCTAGTAAATCATTGGAAATTGAAGCTTTTTCAGAATTAAACATACTTTTTAAAATGTTGGTATAGGGGCCAGTAGGTGGCATGCTGGTTAAGGGTGCTGGATTCCCACGTGACCAACTGTGGTTCAAGTCCAGACCTGGTGGCTTTCTTACTCATTTTCTAACTCTGTCCCTCTCTGGTCAAATTAAAATAAATAGCTAAATAAATGAATGCTAAATAAAATAATTCTTAAAAAAAAGTTGATGTAGATTTGTCAACTTTTTTTTTTTTTTAAAGAATTGTTATCGTTATTTTTCTATATTGACCAGAGACAGAGAGCACAAGCCACCAGGTCCAGGACTCGAACCATGTAACCATGGCCGGCCATGTGGGAATCCAATGCCTTTAATCCATGCTGCTTGCCGGCCCCCTATCATCTTTTTAAAATAACACTGAATTCTCAGATTAGCAGCAATCGTGTTTTTCACTTCTAAATATGTAATTGGGTATACGTTAAAAATCTTGGAAGCTGCTCTAGGAGCCAGCCATCTTCACTATTTACAGGGGCTTCATCACACTGATCACATCGCCTGTTAACATCTGCTTTAGAGAACGGCTGTGGCTCCCACCTGCCAGAGCACCGACGGCGAGGCACTCAGGTGCATTTCCAGCCGCACCTCCTGCCTAAGCATCCACGTCACAGCCTGCTGAGCACATGCTGCGGCTGTTTGTTTCCACCTCCACTTCAGCTCCTCACAGCACTCGTCTTCCAAATCCAGCTGGTAGGGATGAAGAGCCCAAGGGAGGTTAGCCTTGGCCCCTTTATCTTCTGATACTAAGATCATATGTACTAATAAACAGACGCATATTGGCAATTCCTATTTAAAGATTAAAAGAAAATCCCCATGCCCTGAGCAGCAAACAACTACCATCTGTTGAGATCACTCATCACAAGGCGGACACACTAACACACTAAGCTCTTTACAGACTCGTCTTAGCTTTCCACAATGAATTCAAAGGCAGAGAAAAACTCATAGAAGGAGGTGAGTTCATGATAGACCTTTACTTTATAACTTTCACACAATTCTTACATACTTTCCTCAGGTCCAAGAGGAGGGCAAATTAAGCCCTTGGTTTTAATACAAACACAAGGAGTAGGGGAATGAACGGGATGACCATTAGTATAAATACTATTCATAACATTTCTGTCACATTATTGTGGCAACACTTCCCAGCCGGTGTTCTTCCAGATGCTTTCTTTTGATGGCTGTAGTAGCTGACAGTTTTACTTTATACTTTCAATAATTAATGCTTCTATTTTATTGATAGATTCTCCGAGGTTCCTGTAGCACCACACCACCTTCTGTCATGGCACATCGTAGTCGTTTTATCTGGTTTAGAAGAGCAGAAAAAAAGGGCAAAGATTAGGTCACCACCACAAGTAAGCTGAAAATAAATGGTTCACTTTCCAAGAGAGAGAAATAGCAAACTAATTTGCTCTTGCTAGCTTCCCAGCATATACAGGTTTTTCAGAAAGTGCTCTTAGGAATGACATGGGGGGGGGGAGAACCAGCAGTTGGCATAATGGCTATGTCACTGGACTCCCCTGTAGTCGACTGCAGTTTGAGTTCTGGACCCCGTGGCTTAAATTCACGCCAGGCACGTGTACGTGTGTGCATGCCCGAGATCCCCGAGAGGAGAATGGAGGAGAAGGGATTGCGGCGTGGCCATCCCCCCGGGGGGTGATTTCTCGCTTTCTGTCTCTCTGTCTCTCTCTTTCTGGCGAGCATATGCACCCTATAGCAAAAACTTCTCCAAAAAAAAAAAAAGAATGACATGGGAGGACCAATAGATGGCATAGTGGTTTTATCACTGGACTCCCACATAGTTGACTGTGGTTTGAGTCCTGGACCTGGCAGCTTAAAACTCACACCGGCCATATGTGCATGTATGCCCAGAATCCCAAGAGGTGAATGAAGAAGGGATTGCACCACCATGGCCATCCCCTGGGGGGTGGTTTCTCGTTTTCTGTCTCTCTCTGATGAGCACACACACCCTATAGCAAAAATCTTTCTAAAAATGAAAAGAAGAATGACATAGGGGAGCTGGTAATGTGGTGGTGAAGGCGGCTAGATCCCACATGGCCAACTATGCGGTTCAAGTCCTGGATCAGATGGCTTGAAAACCAGGCAAAGTGCCCAAAATTCTGAGGGGAGAATGGAGAAGAGACGGGAGCATGACCATCCTCCCAGGGTATGCTTTCTCACTTTCCCTCTCTTTTTCTCTCAAGCAAGCAAACATACCCTGTTGTAAAATTTAAAAAACAAAAGTGGCAGGGCCAGCAAGTGGCGTGGTGGCTAAGGGCGCTGGACTCCCACATGACCAATAACAGTTTGAGTCCCAGACCTGGTGGCTTGCTTTTTCACTTTCTCTCTCTCTCTCACTTCTTTTCTCTCCCACTCTGTCCCCCTCTGGTCAAATTAAAATAAATAAATAAATAATTCCTTAAAAAAAAAAGTAGCAAAAGAAACATGGAAGAATATTTTTATATCAAAGTAAAGTAAGCCTATTTAAGAAAAAGGGATATAGAGATGTCAAACGTCAGCAGCGTTTAAACAGATTAGATAAACAAGATGCTATACGTGAACGGGAAGCACAGCGGCTGACATCACGGGGTACAGGATCAGTCACTCTGGGTTTGAAAGTCACACATGGACTCAAAGCAGGTCAGCCTGTTTATCACGTTCAGAATGGGGGAGTAGTGCCCTCCCCATGGGCTGCTGTGAGGGGTAAATGCGGTAACACGACTTTTTTTTTTTTTTGGAGAGGTTTTCGCTATAGGGCGTGTGCGCTTGCCAGATAGACAGAGACAGAGAGACAGAAAGCGAGAAATCATCCCCCAGTGGGGATGACCACGCCACAGTCTCCTCTCCTTCATTCTCCCCTCAGGATCTTGGGCACACACGCACACGCGCCCAGCATCACTTTAAGCCACCGGGTCCAGGACAAGAATTGCAGTCGACTACGTGGGAGTCCAGCGACATAGCCATTACGCTAACTGCTGGTTCCAGGTAACATGACTCTTCAGGGTCTAACATAACAAAGCACTTACGACTCTTCAGGGTCTAACATAACAAAGCACTTAGTAAATGAAAATTACTGTGAAAGTATCTAAAGTCAAGAATTAACACTTTTAAAACATGAGAATAAAAATACCGAGTCTGAAGCTGCCTCCCAAGGGGTTGGTTGGTAGACCATGAAGTGGATCCCAGCCTCTAAGCAGCGTTCTGCCAAAACTCGTCCTACACTCTCACAAGCCACCACGTTTCTGGTGCTGTAAAGGTGCTTTTTAATAGCCCATTCACGAGTAGATGCCGAAACCACAACCTGGCCATTGCAATGCTCAACAAATGCTTCGATATGATGCTGCGTCCTTGTAACTCGCAACCTAAAAGGGGTGAGACAAGAAGAAAATCAAGAACCTATCCTAAAGTTAAATTACTTCAAATGAAGAACACCTAAGTATTTCTCCAGAATTCAACGTTTGGTTATTTACTTCAACATACTTAACCTGCATTTTATGAAGAAAAGGTATTTTTCCTCTGCCTTTATGAGAATAGCCTCAATAATAAATCAAATATTCCACTTAACAAGAAGTATCAAGAAGAAATTTGGTATTTCTCAGGAGCTAAGATTTATTTACAAATCACTTCAAAATAGGATTCAAAGGGACCAGAGCCGGCAGGTGGTGTGATGGTTAAGGACGCTGGACTCCCACATGGCTGACCGCGGTTCGAGTCCCGGACCTGGTGGCTTTCTCTCTCTCTCTCTGTCTCTCCCTGGTCAAATTAAAATAAATAAATTATTTTTTTAAAAAAGGGAACAACAGTTAGCATAATGGCTATGTCGCTGGACTCCCATGTAGTCGACTGTGGTTCAAGTTCCGGACCTGGTGGCTTAAACTCACGCTGGGCGCGCACGCCTCTGTGTGTGTGTGTGTGTGTCCAAGATCCCAAGAGAATGGAGGAGAAGGGATTGTGGCGAGGCCATCCCCCCGGGGGGTGATTTCTCGTTTTCTGTCTCTCTGTCTCTGTCTTTCTGGCAAGCGCACTCGCCCTATAGCAAAAAAAAAAAAAAAAAAAAAAAAAAAAAAAAAGAATAAAAAGGGGCACCCCAAAAAAAAAAAAAAAAAAGGATTAGAAGAGGCAGACCTAAGTTGCTGAACACACACTGGGTGGGGACATACAGATGGTCGACGGCTTGACTTACAATTTTTCAACTTTACTATGGTGAGAAAGTGATGTGCAGGGGCCAGCAAGTGGCATGGTGGTTAAGGGTACTGGACTCTCACATGGCCGACCATGGTTTGAGTCCTAGACCTGGCAGCTTGCTTTATCTCTCTATTTCGCTCTCACTCTGTCCCTCTCTATTCAACTTAAAATAAATAAAGTTAAGTAAAATAATTAATTTAAATAAAAGAAAGTGATGTGCATTCAGGAAAAGCCACATTCGAGTACCCACACTACCATTCATTACAGCACTGAACAAATTACATAATTATCTCTGTATAAAATAGGCTTTGTTAGGTGCTTTGCCCAACTGCAGGTCTAAGTGTTCTGAGCAAATTTAATGTAGCCTAGGCTAAACTATGAAGTTCAGTAGGTTATGTGTATTAAACAGAGATCTGTGATTTAAAATATTTTCTATTTATGATAAACTTACTGGTCTATAATCCCATTGTAAGTCAAGGAATGCCTGAACTTCAAGATTTTTATCTTCCCGGTAACATCAAAATATTGGGTGGCCGAGGGAACCAGCAGTTAGCGTAATGGCTATGTCGCTGGACTCCCACGTAGTCAACCGCGGTTCGTGTCCCGGACCCGGTGGCTTAAAACTCACGCCAGGCGCATGTGCGTGCGTGCCCAAGATCCCGAGAGGAGAATGGAGGAGAAGGGATTGCGGCGTGACCATCCCCCCTGGGGGGTGATTTCTCACTTTCTGTCTCTATGTCTCTCTCTGTCTGTCTGGCGAGCGTACGCGCCCTACAGTGAAAATCTCTCCAAAAAAAAAAAAAAAAATTGGGTGGCCGGGAAAGTCACGACGTATTTTTGCATAGAAAACTACATGATGACTTTCCCAACAGCCTAATAAATGTTTAGAGGAAAAACTTAAATGTAAAAGCTGAAATCGTAAACGTGGTAGAAGACTGGCCTCATAGCCTAGTGGTTAAGGGAGCCAGATCTCACATAATCAACCCGTTTTAATCCCAGCCCCAGCAGCTGGAAGAATATGCAGGCACAGGCGCATGTGTGGCCCAAATGTTCACAGGACAGAGGAAGGATTGCAGCGTGACCATGAACCAAAAGGGGTGCTTTCCCCTCACCTTTCTCTGGCAAGCTCTCATGCCTTCTGGCAAAGTAAATAGTAAGTGGTAGAATACCAGCCACTGGCACAGTGGTTGGAGCAGCTAGGACCCCCACAGCAGACTGTGCAGTTCAAGTCCCAGAACTGGTGGCTTGGGGAACACTCACACGCACATATGCCCGGTGTGAGTTTAAGCCACCGGGTCCGGAACTTGAACCGCGGTCGACTACATGGGAATCCAGCAACATAGCCATTATGCTAACTGCTAGTCCCCCAGAACAGTGTCATTTTAACAGCACATACCCACCACAGTTGGGTCTCCGATGTTTAAGGGTGTGCTTGGAGGGGTGGGAAAGAAAGAGGCATAAGGTGCTTTATGGTGTGCTAGGATTTATAATTTAAAATACACAAGTTTATGTTTATAGACTAGCTCTAGAAAGGTACACTCAAGGGGACCAGCAGATGGCATGATGGCTATGTAACTGGACTCCCATGTAGTCAACCGTGCTTCAAGTCCCGGACCCGGTGGCTTAAACTCATGCCAGGTGTATTTGCATGCATGCCCAATATCCCGAGAGGAGAATGGAGAAGGGACTGTGGCGTGACCATCCCCCTTGGGGGGGGGTGATTTCTTGCTCTCTGTCTGTCTCTGTCTTTTTGGCAAGCACACACGCCCTATAGCAAAAACCTCTCAAAAAAAAAAAAAAGTACACTAGAAACTGCATTTCCTTTAGGATTTTTAAGTACACATATAATACTTTTTTAAAGAAAGGTTTTTGGAGCAGGCATGGTGGCCTGCGGGGCGGCGCCGACTGGCGTGGCCTGGAGCTTCAGAGCCGCCAGGGTTCTGCTCCCTGCACCGGTCTCAGTCGCCGGCGGTTCTTGAGTCCTGAGTTTATTCCTCCAAGGGGAAGAACAAATCCTCTGAAATTTCAACTAGAAAGAAAAGATAAGTTAGAAAGGAGAAAAATACTCCATATTCTCGAGTTCTATGTTGGAAGCATACTTCGCGTTACTATAGCCGACCCATATGCCAGTGGAAAAATCAGCCAGTTTTGGGGGATTTGTATCCAGAGATCAGGAAAAGGACTTGGAGCCACCACCCCCAGCCACTGGCACAGTGGTTGGAGCAGCTAGGACCCCCACAGCAGACTGTGCAGTTCAAGTCCCAGAACTGGTGGCTTGGGGAACACTCACACGCACATATGCCCGGTGTGAGTTTAAGCCACCGGGTCCGGAACTTGAACCGCGGTCGACTACATGGGAATCCAGCAACATAGCCATTATGCTAACTGCTAGTCCCCCAGAACAGTGTCATTTTAACAGCACATACCCACCACAGTTGGGTCTCCGATGTTTAAGGGTGTGCTTGGAGGGGTGGGAAAGAAAGAGGCATAAGGTGCTTTATGGTGTGCTAGGATTTATAATTTAAAATACACAAGTTTATGTTTATAGACTAGCTCTAGAAAGGTACACTCAAGGGGACCAGCAGATGGCATGATGGCTATGTAACTGGACTCCCATGTAGTCAACCGTGCTTCAAGTCCCGGACCCGGTGGCTTAAACTCATGCCAGGTGTATTTGCATGCATGCCCAATATCCCGAGAGGAGAATGGAGAAGGGACTGTGGCGTGACCATCCCCCTTGGGGGGGGGTGATTTCTTGCTCTCTGTCTGTCTCTGTCTTTTTGGCAAGCACACACGCCCTATAGCAAAAACCCCTCAAAAAAAAAAAAAAGTACACTAGAAACTGCATTTCCTTTAGGATTTTTAAGTACACATATAATACTTTTTTAAAGAAAGGTTTTTGGAGCAGGCATGGTGGCCTGCGGGGCGGCGCCGACTGGCGTGGCCTGGAGCTTCAGAGCCGCCAGGGTTCTGCTCCCTGCACCGGTCTCAGTCGCCGGCGGTTCTTGAGTCCTGAGTTTATTCCTCCAAGGGGAAGAACAAATCCTCTGAAATTTCAACTAGAAAGAAAAGATAAGTTAGAAAGGAGAAAAATACTCCATATTCTCGAGTTCTATGTTGGAAGCATACTTCGCGTTACTATAGCCGACCCATATGCCAGTGGAAAAATCAGCCAGTTTTGGGGGATTTGTATCCAGAGATCAGGAAAAGGACTTGGAGCCACTTTTACTCTTAGGAATACTATTGAAGGACAAGGTGTTGAGATTTGCTTTGAACTTTATAATCCTCGTATCCAGGAGATCAAAGTGGTCAAACTAGAGAAACGGCTGGATGACGGCTTGCTTATCTACGAGATGCCCTCCCTGAATAGCGCACTTTGGATATGAGCATGAAGCCAGTAGCACAGAAACCCAGCAAAGAAGCTCCTGTCAGTAATCTAAAGGTAAAAATGAAGCCCAAGTCCTGGTCTAAATGCTGGGAACGTCCAAATTTTAATATTTAATATTTAATAATCAGATTCTTCTAAATGCTGGGAACGTCCAAATTTTAATATTAAAGGAATCAGATTCGATCTCTGTTTAACTGAAGAACAAATGAAAAACACTCAAAAGTGAAGTCAGCCATGGCTTGAATTTGACATGATGAGGGAACATGACACTTCAAAAACTGAAGCTGCAATGTGGGATAAAATTGAAGCATCAAAAAAGTCCTGACTGTGAGAACGAATTTGGTTACTTGCAGAGGATGTGTTGACTCTCAGAGAACTTACGTTGAGACCAATTTAATTTCATTTATTGAATTAGTCATTGGTCATTAAATGAACTAAGCACCCATTGTTTCACCAGTATTTAAAAAAATCACACCAGTTTATTCCATAAAGAGAAGTATTACCTACCCCCAAAAAAGAAAGGTTTTTGCCATAGGGTACAGGTACTCACTGGAAACAGAGAGGGAGAGAGAAATCACCTCACCTCAGTCCCTTCTCCATTTTCATCTCAGGACTTTGGGCCCATATACATGCCCGGAGCGTTTTTCAGTCCACTGAGTCCGGGCCCCATAAATAGCACACTTTAAAAAGCTAAGCCTGGGTCTGCCAGAGGTTAAAGAGGCTGGATTCCACATGGCCTACTGCACGGTTTAAATCCTAGACCAGGTAGCTTGAGACATGCCAGGCATATGTGCCTATGTGGCTAAAATCCCAAAACTAGGGGCAAATGGAGAAGTGATTGCTGCACGACCATGCCCACAGGTGTGGAGAGGGTGCGAGGGGGTACTCTCACTTTCTCTCTCTTCTCTCTCTCCCCAGCAAGTGAATATGCCCTCTGGCAAAATTTGAAAAACTTAAATAGAAAGTGCTAATCCCAGGGTTGGGCAGTGGCACAGCAGTGAAATAAGACGTTCTGTAAAGTAGTGCCTGGGTCTCATCCAAACACACAGAATATGCAAATGCCCATGATCCAGGGCTGGCTGAAGGCTAAAGACAGATCATGGCATCAGACCCCCCTACTGGGGAGTCCTATCTCTCTCATTCATGAAACTTTAAAAAAATAAAAATTTTAGGGTAGTTCAAGTCTTTGCCCCGACAGCTTGAGGAACATGACTATGCATATATGCCCACAGCCCTGATGAGATCGACAAATGGAGGAGAAGGGACTGCAGCATGGCCATGCCCCACTAGGGATGCTTTCTCCCCACCTCTCTCCCTGGCAGTGTTGGTTCACTCTGACAATTATGGCAGACTGGGGTTGGAGTCCTGGACTTAGAGGCTTGCTTTCTCTCTCTCTTTCTCTCTCTCTCTCTCTCTGGGAAACACACAAACCCTATACCAAGTTTTAAAGATAATAATACAATTAATAAGTCTTTAAAATTAAAAAAATAATAAAATTAAATAATTCTTTAAAATAAATAGATTTGAATCAACAATCAGAAACATGGGATCTGACTCCCTTAACCACTACAATACAGGGCTCGCTCCCCCCCAAAAAATCAACTTTTTTAAACAATTTTAATTTAATTTTAGAGACTTTTGCTATAGGGCATGCAGACTTGCCAGAGACAGGG